ACTACATCTCTGGGACTGAGAAATTTAGAAATATATGTGGTATTTAACATGATCTACACTAACTAGGATATGGGCCATTAAAGAGTCACTGAAACTACATCCTGAGGACTGAGAAATTTATATGGTATTTAACATGATCTACACTAACTAGGATATGGGCCATTAATGAATCATTGAAACTACATCCTGAGGACTGAGAAATTTATGTGGTATTTAACATGATCTACACTGACTAGGTTATGGGCCATTAAAGAGTAATTGAAACTACATCTTTGGGACTGAGAAATGTATGTGGTATTTAACATGATCTACACTAACTAGGTTATGGGCCATTAAAGAGTCCTTGAAACTACATCCTGGGGACTGAGAAATCTTTTAAAGTACAAATTATTTACAATCGATAAATAAGATTACAAGAGTTGTAGTTCATTACGTATGAGAAATAATTTTAAACTTAAATATACATAGATCTTTAGGATGAATGATTTCTATATAAACTGTCCGCAGAATCCCCCTTTATTCCTGCCCATTACATAAATTTTTACAGTTGTATAACAGCTTTTTCTACGCGAGGAATAGCAGAGATTGAGGCCCAGTGTTTAACTTAACGGACTATGTATCCATTGTTCGCGCACATTTCCCGCCAAAAAGATAAAAAAAATCGCAACGAAATTCCATAAAAACGAACAACATATATAGAGATTATGTACTCAAGTTATTGTCGAATCGTCATGACTAGAACACAGTTACTTTACCTTCTTTAATTCTTGTGCGATAACTTTTCTTTCGTTCTTCATATATTTCTATATTCTTTCATTACTTTTATTAGTATTTCCTAAATTTTTATTATAACACTGTCGCCCTCTAACGTCGAAATTTGTATCCATATTTCAGACGTACTTATGTACGTGTGAAAAGTCCTTTATATTTGAGTACTCCATTTTTTTTAATGAGATTAACGTCTTAGATTGGATTTTTTTGTATTTTCTTATTACAAAATAGTTCTGATTTTTTTAAAATACTTTCTGCTTTATACACAATTTTGAAAAAGTTTGTAATACATCCTGTTTAAGTTTTGACTTTTCTCCTTAAAAAGAAAAGCTTAATAATAACATGAAAGTTGTACACACGATCGAACTCTCTCTATTAATCTTTATTATGTCAAATTCTAAGAGTCTTATTTATTTTTCAGAGAAATAGCACTGGAAATTTTAGGTCAAGAACCAATAGGCTCGTTTATGGTTCGAGAGAGTACAAGTAAACCTGGCTGCTACGCCCTGTCGTTGAGAGTACCGCGGGAATTCCAGCTATCAGGCATTGCCCACTACCTCATCATGCGAACACAGAGGGGTTATAAAATCAAGGTGAGATCTTATAGAAGACCTGCGCTGGTTATGAAAAATAAAACAAGATATATTGGATTTTTAAAATTATGATTAGCTGGCCTGGTGGTCGGGCCACTAGATTAAAAATTTGTAGGTTATGGGTTCGAGTCCCGTCACTGAACATGCTCACGTGTTCAACCACATTTCACAGTGCTGTATTTCCAACGCTGGTGAACGAGAGTTCTAATAAAGTGTTCATACAATCTGCTTTGCCCTTTTGTTAAACTCCCCCCCCCCTTTTTTGTATTAAAAGCGCATTACTAGCTTTGGGCATCTTCTTCGGCCTGCGTAATCATAAATTCTCTTGTCAGATTGAGTATCTTTGAAATCAAGAAAAATTGTAATTTATGTTCAGTGGTTTTCCTCGGGTAGTATAATCACGAGATCTCAGCCCGATGGGGTTCCTAGTAAAGTGGTTAGTCAGTGTAGTGTAAAAATAAAGCTAGCAGAATCCTGAGACCTCAACCCAAGAAAGGTCCTAGTAAAGTGGCTAATCAGTGTAGTGTAAAAATAAATCTAGCAGAATCACGACATCTCAGCCCGATGGGGTTCCTAGTAAAGTGGCTAATCAACTTTACTACGACCTCTATTGGGGTGAGGTCTCAGGATTCTGCTAGCTTTATTTTTACACTACACACACTGATTAGCCACTTTACTAGGACCTTTATTGGGTTGAGGTCTCAGGATTCTGCTAGCTTTATTTTTACACTACACTGACTAGTCACTTTACTAGGACCTCTATCTGGTTGATGTCTCAGGATTCTGCTAGATTTATTTTTACACTACACTGATTAGCCACTTTACTAGGACCTTTATTGGGTTAAGGTCTCAGGATTCTGCTAGCTTTATGTTTACACTACACTGACTAGTCTTTTTACACTACACTGACTAGTCACTTTACTAGGACCTCTATCTGGTTGATGTCTCAGGATTCTGCTAGCTTTATTTTTACACTACACTGACTAGTCACTTTACTAGGACCTCTATCTAGTTGAGGTCTCATGATTCTGCTAGCTTTATTTTTACACTACACTGATTAGCCATTTTACTAGGACTTCTATCGGGTTGAGGTCTCATGATTCTGCTAGATTTATTTTTACACTACACTGACTAGCCACTTTACTAGGACCTCTATTGGGGTGAGGTCTCATGATTCTGCTAGATTTATTTTTACACTACACTGACTAGCCACTTTACTAGGACCTCTATCTGGTTGAGGTCTCATGATTCTGCTAGCTTTATTTTTACACTTAAATCTAGCAGAATCATGAGACCTCAACCCGATAGAGGTCCTAGTAAAGTGACTAGTCAGTGTAGTGTAAAAATAAATCTAGCAGAATCCCGAGACCTCAACCAGATAGAGGTCCTAGTAAAGTGGCTAATCAGTGTAGTGTAAAAATAAAGCTAGCAGAATCATGAGACCTCAACCCGATAGAGGTCCTAGTAAAGTGACTAGTCAGTGTAGTGTAAATATAAAGTTTAAAAAACGTTAAATAAGAATAATCCCCTTTTCTTTCTAAGAAAATACTAGAGACAATATCCTGGTTTAAAACTAAATCTCAACTCTCTTTGCTGGAAAAGTAGAGGAACGAGTACTTAATGGATCTTTATATACAGGACCTATTTCTCAACGTTAGGTCATATTACAGTTTACCATGGGGATTTGTCCCCCTGGAATTTCAGAAGAAAATATATTTGAATAATTCATTTTACAAAATGTATTGGAAAATAATATTATTTAAATATAAATGACGAAATTAAGCCATAATCAGCCAGGGCATATCGCATTCAAACTTAAGTTAAATGACCTGCGCTCTGTGATGGCTTATCTCCCCTCCCCCCTGCAATAAGTTCCGCGGAAGTTTGTGCAGTTAACAGACAGTTTAGGAACCCCATATTTTGCATGTTTAGATATTAATTTTTGGTATTATTTATCGTGCTAATGGAGGAACCATTTTATCCACTTAAATCTTCTTTGTACTCGTGATTTGTATGAAACTTACAGACTTGTCTAATTATCTGCAAATCCTTTCACGTCAAACTTCACATTCGAAGTGGCCGGTGTCTGAAGTGTCCAATGTTATTACGAACATTTTGAACAAGGTTTCTTAAGTGTACACTGTTATTACGAACATTCTGAACTAAGGTTTCCAAGGTGTCCAATGTTATTACGAACATTTTGAACTAAGGTTTCTTAAGTGTACAGTGTTATTACGAACATTCTGAACTAAGGTTTCCAAGGTGTCCAGTGTTGTTACGAACAGTTTGAACTAAGGTTTTTAAGGTGTACAGTATTATTACGAACAGTTTGAACTATGGTTTCTAAGTTGTACAGTGTTATTATAAACAGTTTGAACAATGGTTTCTAAGGTGTCCAGTGTTATTATAAACAGTTTGAACTATGTTTTCTAAGTTGTACAGTGTTATTACGAACAGTTTGAACTAACGTTTCTAAGGTGTACAGTGTTATTACGAACAGTTTGAACTAACGTTTCTAAGGTGTACAGTGTTATTACGAACATTC